GGCCGATCCGCTCATCACGAGGCCCAGACCACGCAAAAAGGCCCACACCAACGTCCGGCGGAGGGAGGAAAGGAGGAGGGGGGGAGGACGAGAGGCGAGCTGGATGCGCTCGCGCCACATCCGACACCCTGCCTCTCCCAACCGTCCCCTCGCCTTCCGTTGGATGCTTCTCTTCGATCCGGAAAGTTAGATTGGGCGTGTCCTCCGACAGGCGGATTTGGTACAAGAAAACAAATGTTCAAACATGGTCCACAATAGTCGAAAAATCGTTCCACGACTATTGTTTGACTATTTTTGAATATTCCTCCTGTGGAGGGACAGGCCCGACTTAGTCATAGACCGCCATATGGCAATTGCACAATTTGTGCCATCGCTTGCCTGGCGGTCGGCCAACGGAGCTGTGTGCACCACGGACCGGCAACTCGTTTGGAGACTTCGTCCTCTTGCTCTCTTTCTATCGTGGTGGACCTGTTATCCACCACCACCACCACCACCACAAGCAGCCAGAAGGGGTCCTCCTCCTCCTCTTCATCCTCCTCCTCCTCTTCCTCCTCCTCATCCTCCACCTCCTTCACACCCCTCCAACCTATGGTGGTGGTGGTGGAAAACAGGCCCATCAAATCGCGTGATGCACTCGGTCGGAAATCGTCTCGCTGCCACGAACTCACAAGTGAAACGGTCGCCCCCGGCTTCGGGGCGGGGCCTGCAGACCTGTCCCAGTACGATGCGGTGCGCATGGGCCCTGCTGGGTACATCGACGACGTCGTGCAACCCCTCATGTCCTGCCGATATCGCTGAAATGATGAATTTGCAACATATTTGAGGACGTTCTCGCCCGTCACAATTTGGTCATCACTGTCAACGAATCAAAAAAGAAGCCTTGTTTCGGTATGGCGCTGTGCCCCAAGACGCAAGATAACGCCTGCTCGTTCAATGAATCGGTTGGATATGCTTCGGATCCCAGGGTGCTCAGAAACAGCTAGTTGCCACGTCGAAATACAAGCACGTCGGCACTGGCATTCGACTGACTCGATGCACCCTGAAGCTTCTGCACAACTGCGTTGCAACGCGTTACAGCGCAGGAGCATTCCTGCTGAGACCCGGCTTGCGTTGTGTCAGGGGGTTGCTTGCCATGCGAGGCTTTGACCAATCCAGCGTGTGACAACAGTAATATGATACTGAACTGGTAGGTAAAGCGCACACATATGCGATGCAAGGCCGCTTTTCGGGAAGAAGTTGATGTGCGCCGGGCGCCGTTGCACGAGCCCGCTGCGCAGTGCGAGGGTGTCATCGCTCCGGCGATTATGAATATCTACATGCGCCTGTGTTTGTTCACGCGCGTGTGCCTGTGCACACCGCGCAGTTTGTGCACCCTCCTTTCATTTACCACTGGTGTGTGTGGGGATCGTGAAGATAGGCAGTGTCGGAGGATGTGGCGCTTCTGGCCTCACGTGCAAAATCGCCTGCCCAATGCGCGGTTCAGCCAACTGAGCGGTGAATCGCTGAAGCCCGCGAATAGTTATACGTGTGTGTATATATATATATACAGATCAAACGAGCTGCGAGGATGGAGCGTGAGGAGAAGCGCGCGCAATCATGGGCGAAGACCCGTCGCGTGGCTAAGGTCAAAGACGTTCTCTCGGGCCGGACTTGTTCCCACATTGTGCGCTTCCTGGCAGCAGCCGGCAGCCCAGGCCTTCACCGTGCAGGTCGTCCGGCGCCGCATACATGAATTACAAGGTGTGGTGCGTTGCTCCGTGTGCATGCAGTGTTCTCGTGCTCGTAGGCCCCGGCGGAAGTCATTACTCATCTTGAAGAAGAGTGCTGAGAGGCGTCGCGCTGTCGTCATGGTTAACTGCCACGATTGCGAGATACCGTCGTAGCGGACCATGACAGGCGGGGCGCGGAGGTCGCCAGAGCGCCCAAAGTGGATGTTTATGGCGTTGCTTGTTCTTCGATTATCTTCCCCCCTCGAGTGAAGCTGGGTCAAGGCGCCTCCAGAGGAGTGACGCCTGTGTCCCTGCACTGCCCCACACCTCGCCCCCCCTTCTGGTGCATGGCTGCTTCCACAGGCGGGCGGGTACGCCCCAGGCTGCTGCGGAACGGAGCGTTCGTGGACGATGAGGAGGCGCATGAGCAGGGAGAGGAGGAGGGGGCGAATGATGAGGAGGAGGAGGAGGCGGAGGAGGAGGAGGAGCAGGGGGAGGAGGAGGAGGCGGAGGAGGAGGAGGAGGACGGAGGAGGAGGAGGAGGACGGAGGAGGAGGAGGAGGAGGGAGGACGGAGGAGGAGAAGGCGGCGAGTAAGCAGGAGGAGGAGGGAGGGAGGATGAGCAGGAGCAGGAGCAGGTCTGGGAGCAGCAGGAAGGGGGGGAAGGCGGAGGAGGGTGCAGAAGGGGAACGGCAGCGACAATCGGGGATCTTATCCCCAGAACGCAATGTTGATCACAGTCTGTGGCCCGCGCTGGGACGATAGCAAAACTTTGAACGACGGTAACAACATGCCAGTCCAGGAACGTGGCCCACGCTGCAGCGGGAGCACAGTGTGAAGGACCGCGTGCGTTCCGATGGAGGAAAAACAGACGGTGAGGCCACCGGGTGAGGTCACTAGATAAGGAACCCTTGGATAAGGAATCCAGGGTCTGAACGCCGGTGAAAAGCCCATGTGGATTGGCCATGGCTATCTTTGCCGCCATCATCAGAAGAGGAATCCTCCAGGGTCTGAAACCTCCTGGACATATTATCTAACCAACGCCCCTACCGTAGCAGCCTAAACCAATTCGAGAAATCCTGTGCGCGAGAACGCTGCGCGAAATGAGCGGGAGCACACATCGGCGCACTGCCAGGGGAGCGAGAGGGAAGCCGTGTGCACGCCCACAGTCGTGGAAGAGGAAGGAGGGACGGGAGGAGGGCAGGGAGCGAGGGAGCGAGGGAGCGAGGGAGGGAGGGAGGGGGACGGAGGAGGATGAGGGGGGTGGGCTGAGGTGGGGGACGCCTCACCTCAGGCCTCCGGTGCGGCAGCCTCGCCGGCGCTGGCGGCCGCCGCCATCTTCTGGTCGCCCATCACGAGCTTGCCGGCGGCCGCGGCCTCTACGGCAGGGCTCCCCCCTCTGAGCCCGCTCGGCGCCTGCGCTGATGTCGGGCCTGTCCCCCTACATCAGGCTTGTCGACGAAAAATGAAGAATACCCCAAAAATAATCAAAAAAGAATGCAAAAATAGTCTGGGGAATATTTTTTGCATATTGTGTGGCCTTTTTGGTGGCAGTTTTGGGGTATTTTTTATTTTTCGACGGAAATCCCCCTGTAGGGGGACACGCCCTACATAAGCCTGTGCCCGCGCGGCCGCCGGTCTGGGCAGCCGAGCGGGGCCCATGGCCGAGGTGGCGGTGGGAAGTTGGCACGCTCGGCAGCCGCGCGGACGCGGGCTTCGGTCCATGTGGCGGCCGAGTGGGAGGAGCCGCCGAAGGGTCTCAGAAGGCAGCCGTGGGAGACTCCACGCCACGACAGCATCTACACGGACACCCTCCGACGAAGGTTGCATGTACCTCCCTGTGCAGAGAGTCGTTGGCTCCCAGTGGTGACTCGTACACCGCCACCGTCTCCTTTGGCTCAGGAACCATCCAGTGGAGGGCGCGTGTGTGTATATCTTGTGGCGGGTGATCAGGTGGCCAACTGTGGAAACTCTGCGCTCGAAAATGCTGGCATCCCTAGGGGAACAAAAAGTGGCATAAACATAAAAACTCTGAGGTCCGCGCAGATTTCTCGGATCGGCGCTGGACCCCCCTCCCTGGCGCGCGGAGCGCGCCAGGGGCGGCGCCGGAGGCGCCGCCGGGGGGCCCCAGCGCCGATCCAAGAAACCCGCACGGACCTCAACAGTTTTTATGTTTATGTCACTTTTTGTTCCCCTCATCGGGCGTTGGCAGAACTGGGTTTAGTGGAACCTGGTTTAGTGATTTGTACCGGGGGGCGCCCCCCTGTCCCATTTCCACTCACCGGAGCTGCCGCCACCCGAAAAACACCAGTTACGGCACACCTGGTTTAGTGAATCTGGCCAATTCAAGGGCCCCGGGGCCCTACCGCTAACCGGGTCCCCTTACCCGGGGTCCTGGCCATACCCGACCTAATCCTGGTTTTCACTTCCGCCGCGCTGCGCCGACGGCCTGCCGCCAAAACCTGAGGCAAGCGGTGAAACACTTAAGGAACGCGGATCCCCTCCCCAACGAAAAGGGTTCCTTCTTCAGGGTCCCGACCGTATACCCATCCCTCGCCCAATCTGGCCGCCGCTCGTGCGCCCGGCTCCCTGAGGCAGACCCTCGGCGCCGGCGGCGGTCGAAAGGGGCGAGAGCGTGGAGCGCCGAGGGCCTCTGGCTGAGCAGGGGCCGACCGCCCCAGCATTCCTATAGTCCTACCACGAAGTGTTCTTAGAACGCCACAATGTTCTAAGAACCAAAAGCAATGTTCTTAGAACAGAGACCCGATGTGTTAAAACTAAGACAACATCAGCCAAAACTGCTCTAAGAAGATGTCGTGGAAACCACAAAAAGGTTCTTAGAACATTGTTTGGTGGGGCTATAGGCGAGCCAGAACGCTCCGTCACTGCTTGATCTGGGCCACCTCTCCCGGGGTCCCGAAGGTCAGGGCCGAGGCCGGCGCCGGCGGCGGGCCGCCCATCCCTCGCCCCATCTGGCCGCCGCTTGTGCGCCTGGCTCCCCGGCGCTGGCTTCGTGCGTGTTTTTGTTTGCTCGATGATCCAGGATGCTCCTCCTCCTCCTCCTCCTCCTCCTCCTCTCCCTCCTCCTCCTCCCTCCTCCTCCCTCCTCCTCCTCCTCCCTCCTCCTCCTCCTCCTCCTCCTCCTCCTCCTCCTCCTCCTCCTCGCCGAGAAAAAATGCACACGTCCGAGCGATGCCAGGGCGTGGAGCGCCGAGGGCCTCCGTGGGCCACCTCCCCGGGGTTCCCCCGGAGGGCCCGGGCCGCGGCCGGCGCCGGCGGCGGGCCGCGCGCGCCTTGTTGATGAGCTTGACGAGCTCGTCCCCGTTGACCTTCTCGCGCTCGAGCAGCAGGTTCGCCAGCTCGTCCAGGATGTACATGTTTGACCTTACGATGGGCAGTTTCTAATACATAGGATTTCTGCTTCTTCTTTTTTTTAAGAAAAAAAAGAAAAACAGCATAGGATTTTAATGCAGAATGAATTTATGAATGAATTTATGCATGCAATCATGTTTGTTTTTAATGCTGAACCCCTGAATTTGAATACATGATCCGCACGCGGAGCATGCATTAAAAACGGCACTGTAAGAGATGGGGGGTGGAGGAGGCCCCTGAACCAATAGGCCAGCCTGCCAGCAGGCGCTCACCGCCCCCGGTGGCCCATGGAGAGCCACGGGCTGGCTGCACGGCGAGGTCGAGAGATGGGGGCGCGAAGACTGCTTGCACGTGTCCTCCCCGTGCTGCAGCACGCAAGCTCCGACCTTGCTCCTGCATCCCCAGTCGATGCTCCTCCTCCTCCTCCTCCTCCTCCTCCTCCTCCTCCTCCTATCAACCCAGCTCATCTGGCAGCCGTTTACCACCAAGGGCGCGAAACTAACGTCATTCTGGGACCAACCTCACGCCGTCCGCGCAGGGCGCGCCACGCAAAGGCGCGCATCGGCTCTTGTCCGTGCATCTCCAGGAGCAATATGTCCTACCATACGCACGTGCCGTGGGCCAACCGACGCGCTGCACCCTCGTACTGACTCTCGTCAAGCCACAACGCCTCACTAGGCTGGCCCGAGTGGCGCTCTGATCGACCCACCACCAGAACTTTTGAACACACGCACACACAGGCAAGCGCGCACACATTCCCTCTTCCCGCCTCCTCCGCGTCATTGGATCGGCAACTGGTCGCAAACAAGCGGGATCCGTCGACCTAAACTGCAATCGCATCGCGCTCGCACCGAACCAGTGCTCTCCCGTATTAGGGGCGGGCCAGGCGAGCAGTGCAAGACTAACGATTGCCCCCCAACGCGCCGCAGGTTTGCAGCCGGCGGGAAAAGCAGCACGACGGCGAGCAACGCGACAAGAGCAAGGACGCGGACGACATGAGTCACCTTCCTCTGCAGACGCGAGCAATGCAAC